TGATTTTCTCAATATTTAGATTTTTTTGCACCCTCAGATTCCAGATTTTCAAATAGTTGTATCTCAGCCAAATATTGTCCTATCCTAACAAACCATACATCAATGGAAAGATTATTTATTCAGCTTTCAGATGATTACCAGAAAAATTTACCCTTGTGACTGGTTTTGTGCTCCAGGGTCACATATTAGATGGGAGGTGCCCTTCAATGTTCTGGATGGAGGTCTCACCGGTGGAGATATTTTTCCTATTTAAAACTTGACTCTTCTGTAGTTACATCGTGTACTAAGACCGACGGAAAATGAAAAGTTGTGATTTTCTAGGCCGATACGGCTAGGAACTATACTCTCATTCCGGCGTAATAATCAAGGAACTTTGCTGCCGTACCATGAGTGCAGCAGGCGCAATGATATTACACAGCCCCTGAAAATAGTCCCCAGCTAGGTAACTTCCAACAGCACTAAGTTTGTGTAGTTGGTTATGTTGACGGAAGTTAGTCTATTTTCAGGCGCTGCGTAATATCATTGCGATTCGAAAACGGTAAAACTCAACTGTTTAACTCTAGTGGAGTTGGAAAATGAGCGCTTGACTTCTGTTGGATTTGCGGGTTAACGGGGGGATGTTTTGTTGTTTTCTGCACTGATGTTTTCTCCAATGTTCTTTGGGATTTCATGTAACCTGGTCAAAACCTTTCAGGTTTCATCGTTTGATTCAGAGAGTCACGATCCTTTACGATTTCATGAGGCATCTAGCAAATCCCATATGACCGGGGCACGAGCAGCCACACCCCTTCGCTGAGGCTCCTCCCACTGCTACTTAACTATTCGTAGCCCCTCCCCCAACCCAAACCAGATGAGAGCGCCAATCCGAGTAAATTCGGCTAGCGATTTGTGCTTTTGATAAAGAGAGCATCGAGACCTCGGCAGCAAAAGCGCCTTGCACACTTCTATCAAGTCTCAATCAAGCGATTTGGCTGTCAGTGCGGTCATCGTTAGAAATCCAAGAGAACGACTAGATGCAGAGGTCGGCTGATGATAGATACTTCTAGATCGTCTAAATCTGCTAGACCTCGGTTCCAAAGAGGGTCGACCTGCAAAGTTGCAAGGTTTATTTCAAGTACCAATTAATGTGTCTCTCTGTATATCATTGCCTGAACTCAAAGCAGTCGTAATGTTTAATGCTGTTAACTTTTTTAATATCTGTTGGATGCTTTAGAGAGTTCCAGGGCTGGGCGATATAACACTCTTATTTCGTCTAGATATTGCTAAATTATCGCTTCTCCAATTTTTTTTAATCAGAGAAATTTCGACTGATCATCGTTGCCAGTTACATTCAAACATTTTATTGCAAAAAGTAACATATTTATTTAGATGACAATCATTGCGTAAATTAATTGAAATTTTTTTTATAATATAACAATGGAAAGTAATAAACAGAAAGATATTTTTACTGAAACTTTTTAAACTAAATTTTGCAACATTTTTTGAGTGTTATTTTAGTGTCATTGAGATGGTATTATAGTGTTTTTTATTTTTGAAGTAGCTTTTGTTTTTATATTTTTCATTTAAATTTTAGTTAAAGTTTTAGTTTTTTGGCATTTTTACTAATTTATATATATATATTAGTGTTGTCAAACGATTAATCGCATACAAAATAAAAGTTTTTGTTTGCATAATATATGTGTGTGTTCTGTGAATATTTATTATGTTTATATAAATACACAAATGCAGTATATATTTTGAAAATATTTACATGTCTATATTTATATAATTTATATTATACATAAATATATTTAATATATAAACATAACATATTTTTCTGAAATATATACATGCATGTGTGTGTATTTATACATACATAATAAATATACAAAGCACACACACATTATGTAAACAAAAAACTTTTATTTTTAATGCGATTAATCGTTTGACAACACTAATATATATATATATAGTTTTATTAATTTTTATTTCAGTTTTAGTTCGTTAAACTAAATGAAAATCAAAATGTTGCCTACCTAACTGAAGTGTAAAAATATATATATTTTATGTTTTATTTATTATTTTATTTCGAGTAATAAAGTGTTTATTATGGTTTTAGCTGTCTATAATAACCCCGGTGGTGAATAAATGAATAGTGAACTGAACTCGTGCGGTTGAAGCGCTGTTATATGGTCCAGCCCTGTTGTGTACTGTAGCTGTAATGTTAAACTGTAATGTGAGTGTTTAGTTTAGTTAGGTCAGTGCCTGAGGGTCACACGAGTCAGTCAATCTGTGACACTGACGCACGTCTCTCTCCTCTGGACTCGGACAGGTCTCGCTCTCGCTCCCGCTCTCGGTCCAGAGGGAGGAGATACGGGCGCTCTCGCAGCCGCAGCAGAGGGAGGAGGTGTGTGACACACCTGTGTGTGTGTGTGTGTGTCTCTGTGTGTGTGTGTGTGTCTCTGTCTGTGTCTGTGTGTGTGTGTGTGTGTGTGTCTGTGTGTGTGTGTGTCTGTGTGTGTGTGTGATCCTTCACTCAGATGTGTGTCTGATTGATGTCTCAGATCCAGATCTTTTTCTCCTCGTCGTTCTCGCTCTGGTTCTCCCAGACGCTCCAGATCTGTGACGTCCAAACGCTCCAGGTAAGTGACTGATGCATGGTGATGTAACAGTGATTCAAAGAGTGTGTGTGTGTGTGTGTGTGTGTGTGTGTGTGTGTTGTTTGTGAGAGTGTGTGTGTGTGTGTGTGTGTGTGTGT